TTATGAAACCACGGAGTATTTGGGAGAGATATACATGGATGCTAAGCCATATCACATGAAGATAAATTCAAGCTAGTAGGTATACTTTAGCCTGAAAGAGGCAGTGTTGCTTTCAAAAATCATTTGCATGATTCTTGAATCATTTCCTTCTGTCAAGTCTGGCTACTATCCTTCTTAGCTTGACTCATCACTAGTCACTTGAAATACATCAGTGGCACAAATTATTGAGCATGAGAAAGTCTATTGTGGCTAGTTTAAGTATATTTTTGAGAGATATTAGTTTACTCTTTAATCAGGAAAGTTATAAAACAGACTCCAGATAGCATTATAGAAATAACTTCCAGAACCACACAACGGAAATACAGTCTGAGAAAGAAGCTGTTGCTACTCTAAAACCACTTGGTCAAACTGTATTAATAAAAAAATATGCTGCTACTACCATCAGTTCTGTAACATGTCATCTCTGTTGTCAACCATACCAGCATAGGGAACGGGGAAAGGGACATTGCCAGAGAACCTCTGCAGTGGGTTCTGCCCTCCTGCGAGGCACCACAGCACAAGGGAAAGTAAAGAATAGACAGGAAACGAGACTTAGAATGAAGAAACTTGGTCTTGGGACCTGATCAGTGCTGCGGATGAGACAAAGGCCCCCAAGCACATCCAGTATTTATTGAATACAATCATGGGAAGGATTAGGGAGCCAGGTATGTTTAGAAGCTATCTAGTGAAATACTGCTGAACACCTGGCATGATGGCACCAGGCAGGGCTGTTAGGGCATAAGCGCTCTTTAACTTGCTTGGATAGAACAAACCAGTACCGGGACCAAGTGCAATTAGCAAGTAACCCATCGGGTCAGTGAGAAGCCATAATTCAGGGGAAAGGATTTTACTTGGGATCACACTGACCTCAGATGCATGTAACTCAGCAGAGCCCTGCCACTTCACAGACCAGGATGTAGGCTTCAGTGACAGCCATTAGCAAATGAGCCATACCAGCCCAATTCTGCTACCTGATGTGGCCATTTGAGTCACGTAAGGCGTTGGTCTGACTCCTGATATAAAACAATATAGCTGAGTTAAGGAAGGCAAGAAGCATGTGCCACTCATAGCCCACTAGTACTGGGCAGGAATGTCTGCTACAGGGATTTACATTATATAAAAGGAGAACATATATGTATACCAGAAATTTGTAGATATTGGTTATAAATAAGTCACCATGAAAGTCACTGTGGTGTGTCCGAATAGATCTTGTGATTTTTGTTTTCACTGAACTTATTGCAAGTTTATTATTTCTTATCCAAGATGCTTGAGACCAGAAGTGTTTCCGATTTTAGAGTTTTTTCAGATTTTGTGTTATTTGTACAGACATTACTAATTGTGCATTGCTAATATGAAAATCAGACATTTGAAATATCTCCCCCCTGCAAAAAAAACTCAAAAAAACTTTTAAAGCACCATATTGACACTTAAAGCATTTCAAAATGACATCAAAAAAGTTTTAGATTTTAGGATTTTAGATTACGGATACTCAATCTATATTCCATAGATAAGCAGTTTGATGACTTTTCAAGGATTCTTAGTTTTTTCCACCACATTCTCATATGAGTCTTTAAAATAACTTTAATGTTGTTCTTTGCCCATATTTTATTTGATTAAAAAACAATGGTTAGAATTACTGAAACAGTAAAAGGATAATAAAGTATGGTGGACTGACTAATGGTCAATTTGTAATGCCCACCTGAACTGAATCAGCATGCTCTGGGCATGTAGGATCCACCTGAAGATTGTTACCAATAGCCATAAAAAGAGAACTGGAGGGGAAGATCTTGGACTATTGATTTTCTAGGAGAAGCTTGCTGCAGATGGTTTTCCTGATGTGAATGAGCTAGGCTGTTCTTGTCAAAGGAGGAGTTTGGGGCCTCACTCGCTGGGAATGGCTACTCTTCTCATCAGGGGAGCTCTGATCTTCACTGTGAGCATCACTTCCTGGCTCCAGTGTGGATCCATCAGCTTGGTGGCAGAAATCCTTCATTTCACAAGCACAGATTTTCTGGCTTCCACTATTGGCCTTTGGGCCTTCCAGGTTCAGATCCTCAATATGGACAAGCAGGAGACATTGCTGTGGGCTCTAGGCCACGCTGGACTTGTGGAGGACATTGCCTTGGAAGCTAAGCCTTTAGCTGGACGTGTGTGGGAAATTGCTGGGATCCAGGCCCTTAGCTGGATTCCTTGGGCCCCTAGTGTGCAGTTAATCTCTTGCACTCCTTTGCATTTGACTTTTTGCGTGATTATCATAAAATAATCCTATAAACTATATGTCTTATAAACTATGTGTCCTTGCCAAAACCCTGACAGCAACATAAAGATTGATTTTTTCTTTAGAAATTGAGATCCAGTTGTTTTTGGGTTCCACATGAGTCAATTTATATAGCATTTGTCTTTCTGTGCTTGACTTATTTCACTTACCATACTGATATCCAGTTCTGTCAGTGTTGTCACAAATGACAGGATTTCATGTTTATCACTGAATAGTATTCCATTTTGTCTATGTACTATATTTTACCTTATTCATCAGTTGATGGACACTTACATTGTTTCTGCTTCTTGGCTATCATGAATAGAGCTGCAATGAACATGGGAGTATAGATGTCTCTTCAGTGTACTGATTTAATTTCCATTGGAAACCTAGTAGTGAGATTGCTGGGTCATATGGTAATTCTATATCTAGTGTTCTATATCTTGAACCTCTATGCTTTCTCCACAATAGCTGTATTAATTTATATTCCCACTCATTTATATTCTCATAGAAATTGAGAATAGAATAATGGTTACCAGAGGCTGTGAAGCGTGGAGGAGAGAGGATAGGAAAAGTTGGCCAATGTTACATTTATATAGGAAAAATAAGTTCTGGTGTTCTCTTTATAGTAGGGTGACTATAGTTAAAAATAATATATTCTGTATTTCAAAGTAGCTAAAAGAGAGCATTTTGGATATTCTGACACTACTCTGTAGATTTGCCTTTTCTTGATATTTTGTATAATGGAATCATACAATATGTGGTCTTTTGTGACTGGTTTCTTTCGTTCTGTATAATGTGGTTTAAAAGTTCATTTGCTCATAGTATGTGTCAGTACTTTGTTCATTTTGATGGTTGAATAATGTTCCATTGGATGGATATATGACATTTTATCCAATCATTTGATGGACATGTGGATAGCTTGTACTCTTTGGCTATTAGGAATAATGCTACAAAAACATAGATGTACAAGTTTTGATGATATATATTTTCATTTCTCTTGGGTATATAAGCAGAGTTATATAGTAGTACTTCTTTTTTTTTCTTTTTTTGGTACCGGGGATTGAACTCGGGACCCTGCACTTGTGCGGCAGGCCCCGGAACCACTGAGCTAAATCCCCAGCGCTATAGTACTACTTCTATGTTTAACTTTTTCAGGATCTACCAGACCATTTTCCAAAATGGCCGCATCATTTCATATTCCCACCAGCAATGTGTGAGGGTTCCACTTTCTCCACATCTTTGTGAACATTTGTTATTTTTTCATTCTATGTTTTTATTTGTTTGTTTGCTTGCTTTTTGAGACAGGATCTTGCCATAGAGCCTAGGCTGGCCTTGAATTTTCTATGTAGGCCCGGCTGGCCTGGAACTGGAGATTTTCCTGCCCCAGCTTCCTGAGTTCTGGAATCACAAGCATGTACCACCATGCCTAGTTTGTCATCTTTCTTCTTCTAGCTACACTAGTGGGAGTGATGGAGTATTTCTTCTGGTTTTAGCTTGCATTCCCCCAGTGAATGATGTTGAACTTATTTTCATATGCTTAGTGGTCATTTGTGTGTGTGTGTATGTGTGAGTGTATGTGTGTTACTGGGAACTGAACCTAGGGCCTTTGCATTCAGCTACATTCCTAGCCCCCTGTTTGTTTGTTTTTTTTTGTTTTGGGACAGGGTCCTCACTAAATTGCTTAGTTTCCCAGGCTGGGCCCAAACTTGGAATCTTCAGGTGTGTGCCACTATGCCCAGCTTTATTGGCTATTTTAATATATACTTTAGAAAATATCTATACACATCTTTTGCTCATTTGTAATTGGTTTATCTTTTTATTGTTGAGTTGTAAAGAGTTCTTTATATATCTAGTTACTCATCCCCTTTCAGACATGATTTTTAAATAATTTTATACATTCTGTAGGTTGTCTTTTCACTTGTTGCATTTTGGAGCAAATTTACTTCAATCCTGGTTTTGTGTTCCCTCAAAGGTGTCTTCTTCATGTGTTACAAGGGTTAAATATGAGTTTCAAAATGAAGAAAAATAATTTGTGAAATGAAAGTGTTATGTGTGTGTATATCACAAAATAAAGAACATTAAAGCTTATTGAACCTCAGTGTGTTCGTGTAACAGTATTTTTTCATTATGAGTGATTTTTATTATCTCAGTACATCTAAATACAGTATATTTATCCTTTTCTTTTGCTTTTTCAAATCTTATCAACTTCTTGTGAATTTTTCATTAGTAATTTCTTAGGTATACATTCCCTGTTAATTTGCCAATCATATTTGTTTTCCAGGATTATAGTGATCTCAAGGGAGCACATGAAGAATAGTAATTTGTGTGTGTGTATGTTGTGTATGTGTTTCCTTTTGCTAACAAGGTAAATACTGTACGTGGTTTTGCTAGGGCTGTATAATGACTGTCTACGCTATAAACTGCCAATCTACTCTGTGGAATGGTTTAAAAATATTTTTTTCTTTCTGCTCACTGGTTGTTTGGGTATAAATATAAACCCTGAATATATGGTAAAATGTGCACAAGATTATGGTATCTGGAATAAGAAATAATACAATGACATATACAGAAAAAATTCTTATTGTTAGCGAAAGCATGACTTAATATTTTAAGACATAGACATTATTGATATTTATTAATCCTTTTTGAAAGTCTTAAGCAGAAATTTCTCAGTGCTCACAGGAACTATTCTTTCTTACAGGAGGATATGAACCTTAATGAGGAAAAGAAAGCTCCTTTACGAAACAAAGATTTTACCACTAAGCGTGAGATGGTTGTCCAGTATATTTCTGCTACTGCCAAATCTGTAAGTAGACTTCCTGGCACCAACACAATGAGCTTAGCATTATCTACTTAAAAGTAAACCTCAGATTTTCAAATTCTTGCTTGTATGCATTCACATCAACTATTTAGGAAACAATTTATGTATTTTTACATATTTAGTATATATTCAAAACTGAATGGTTCATCCTTAGAAATGAGAGACTTCCATTTTTATAAACAATAGAGACTAATAAGGACAGAAGACTCTTGAAGTAATCCAGTGAATTTGGAGCTAGAATTTTTTTGCACTTACTAAAGATTGACATTTCACAGGTATTCCACTTAATACATAGGTCGTTGGATGGAAACTTCAGATTTTTCAAGAGAAGATATAAACATGGCATACTTGGCCTTTAATTAGATTTACATTAAAGCTACATGTGCAGTGCCTGCTTACATGTAATTTTTAGCAGTGTCTTTAAGTATGCTGATTTTTTTTTTTCATTTTATGAAACGGGAGCTGTGTAAGCTACCTCATAATTGACATTGGGCAGCTTTATTTAATATGAAGGAAAACACTTAATATATACTTTAATCAAATCTGTGAGTCTTAGACTTGAAAGTAGGGTTCATTGAGAGGACTTATCAACAGGAAAAACATACTGTTTATAATAGAGTATTTTGCTTTGTTCATTTCCTAAAGTGGTTCCAAAAATAGTTTTCAGATTTGATTTTATTGTAAGAAAAAAATGCATTTTTGAAATGGCAAAATGCATCTTTTGCATTTCTGTAAAGAGCTTTTCATATCAAGAGTTTGTAAAATCACTGTGTGTATGTATGTGTGTGTGTATACACACAGCGATTTTATGTGTAGGTGTATATATGTGTGTGCGTGTGTGGATACACAACACATATTTAAAACAAACATTTTAAATTTAAACACTTGACCAGTGAAGAAAACATCTTTTTATTGGAAAAATATATTTTGGAGTTATTTGGCTATCTTATTAATATTATTCCAGTACAGTAATTCTGGTAGCAATTACTGAATTTTGAGATTGTGTTGATTGTATATCATACTTTAGAGAAGCTAAATCTGAATGCTGAACTATTTAAACATAACACATTGCAGCTCTGCCAGAGCAGAGCAACAGCATGTTTTTTTAATTTGCTTCTGTATCCAAGAGCAGAAATATGTTTCAAGTGATAAGTGAAATTTGCCATGAGCATCATTTTCAATAGAATTAGGTGATGCATAGGGTTTTACTTTGAAATTCTTATGAATCTCTTCTCATTTTTGAATGAAGTTATTGTTCACAGCAAAATGCTTTAGGAAATGCAAGCTATGGATTCAGTGTTACTTTTCAAATACATGAAAACAAGTACACTGAATCTATATAACTAAATGTGAATGCAAAGTACAGATAATGATACATGACTAATCATGTGGTCTTTTTTAATGATGATTTTGTGTCTCTAGCTCATTTGTTGTTGTTTGTGTAAGTGGAACTAACTATAATGAAGATTACGTAATGGTTTTCTTTCTTGACCTTTTGATTATTACTAGATTATATGCAGAACTTATTTTCATGCTTTTTTCTCTTCATCTGATTAAAGAAATGTATACATTAAGCTATATACTTATATGTCAGATTAAAATGCAAAAATTTGTTTAAATATTAGATAAGTCATTTGAACTGCTTTATTCAAAAGATGAAAATGGAATATTTCTTTAAAGACATGAAAATTTTATGGTTAAGGCATTAGCCCCAAATTCAGTACTACTGAGTAGTATATGATTCTTATTTGTCTCATTGAGTTTGCTTATGAGCACCTCATATATGCATAGCACATTCATGAGTCCTTTTCTGTTGTTGTTGTTTGAGACAGTGTCTCACCATGTAGCTCAGGCTGGCCTTAAAATTGTGATCCTCCTGCCTTAGCTTCTCAAGTACTGAGATTATAGGTGTGCCATACCTAGCTCAGAAAAGATCTAAGATTGTACTTCTTTTGCTATTATTTTTTATGGACCATGCATTTTGATGGAAAAAATCAAGCATTTTTTGAAGCTTCCTTACCTTGGGAAGACATTAATTAGCATTGTTTTCTATCATTAAAACTATAAACTGTGTATGTAATTACCTTTTAAAGGTGAGAGGTATAACATTCAGTGCAAAGCATATCTGATCCTTTGATCTCTTCATGTTCAAGACAATAAAATTTGCATCAATTAGTACCAAATGTATGGCCCTTTACCGATTTATAACCACACTTCCCACCCTGCTATCTGTCATTCATTAGGCTTTAGATATGTGTACTTGTTTACTCTTTTTCATTATATTAATATGCTCATTAAAAATGTTTTCTCATTTAAAGCAGATGATGGTAATTTACTTTATGAAAATTCATTATAGGTAGTCAAAATTTTTCATCTTGAAGTAGAAACAAGGGTGAGAGGTAGAGGAAAAATGTTTTACAGTCACATGCAAAACATTTGAGAATTTAAACATAAATTGAACATTTCCCCTTTTAGCCACCTGCTTTAGTCATTTGCATATGGGCTCTAAAACAAAACAAACAAAATGTGAGCTCAGTGATAAATGTCCATCATGCTCCTGAGTTTCTGGTTAAGCACATGAAAGTAAGATAAGGCAATACACAGATACATGATCAAAACTTGTTTCTAAAGTATACACGAGTCTTTTGTTGTAAATTAACTTTGCTAAAATTAGCATGGGATAAGAGAAGATTAGGGAATCACAAAATAATAATAAAAACTAGTGCTTGATTTTTTTCTTGTTAAAATGCCATAATAGATAAAGTTGTGTGAATGTTAAAGTAAAAAAATGTAGCTTGGGCAACTCTGTCATTGATGGATAAACTCTAGGCAGGTGGAAAAGAATCTCCTCTCTGCATTTATCTTCCATAAGATGGACTCCTCTTGCTCATAGTAGGAGATGTGGTTACAGACCTGATTTAAAAGTTGTTGGTGTTTGTGGATCATTTAACTACAGATAACCTGGAAGAGTCAATATTTAAAAAAAAAAAACTAGCACATATTTTCAGAAATGAAAAAATAAGCTTTATTGATATTGTAAAAGTCATCCTATCAAGTTATAATCCTGAAACATGATGTGTTGGTGATTTAGAGAGGATCTTGATGCACTTAACAATATATATAGACATTGATGAAGAAAAGTTAGTCATGAAAGTCCTCACTGGTTTGCCAAATGCGAACGTACTTATTAGAATATTGAGAAATAATTTAAATCAGTTTTTGAATTTGAGATTTTAGAATATGTTGTTTGAAAATATGAACTAATTAAAAGATGTCATTTATTTAAAAAACTCAATAGGAAATAATTTAAAATAGTGTTACCAACTACATCTACAGATTTGCTAGAGGTACCTGTATGACAAATAGTTAAAAGTTATAGTACGTGTGTGTGTGTGTGTGTGTGGCATGTGTGTATTTATTATGGTTTTGCTTTTTAGCAGAAACTTCTTTCTCAGGTTTTTCCAGGTATGATCTGGATATGATGAAATGTTAGCTTCTCTTGTCTAATCAGTCTATCTACTGTTCTATGTGCTTTAGCTAAATGCAGTCATTTTGCAATCCAAGTGAATCATTAAATGGGCCAAATTTTGGGATTGTTTCACTGAGTATAGATTTGCCTTAATTGTTAAGACAGGCTCACATTCTTTTTTATAGTCACATGTTTATGTTAAATACATAAGGGACAAATACTACCTCTGTCTTTTTTGGTGGGAGGGAATAATTTAGGTCAATAGCATATCTCTCAATCAGAAGACTGTTATTAGAACCAAAGAAGCTTTCATTCTACTAAATAATTACTGCCTGTAAATAGTCTGTGGAATGAATATTTAAGAAACCTGCATCTCTATTTGGAGATTTATTGATTCCTCTGAAGTAATTTACTTAGAGACTGTTATTATCTTTTTGCATCTTATGATATCTTGTTGGACTTAGGATTTTTACTAGTGTTTCAGGAAATTTGATTTTATTTTTAAAGTATTGGCCAAAAAATGGAGCATATCTTGATAAAAGCTGCTACCAGATTAATGGTTTTAGTTTGTGAATTATGTCTTTTTGGACAGAGCTTGATATTCATGTGTAGGAATCTGATAACAGTGATTTGACTTATTGGATTTTGGCATAAAATTATGTATAGGATTGTGAATTTACTTCTTGCTTTCCTAAACACAATTCTTCCTCTCAGAAATTCTTTTCTCTCTTACTTGTCTATTAGGAAAGTTGAAGTTTTTGAACTATTTCCTCCTTTTGAATATGTGCATGGTTAGCTATAAACTGCTTCTTTGTCTTCACATTATATTGAAAATTCTGATTTTATAATAGAAATGCTAGGGTTATCTAGGAAAACTAGAATAATAAACAATTTATCTTTATAATTTTCAAGTATGAGACAATATTATAGACTTTTAAGTTTATAACAGTAAAAAATATAATTTTTCAACTTAAAGTTCACTCTTGAATTTAATGTATGACTTTAAATGCAACATTTATATTTTAAAATAACTTGTTTCAACCTAGATAATATACTTGTCAGAACGAGGAAAGAAAAAAAGCAATATTTGGAAAAAAAATCAATTTTCTATTGACAGTTTTTTGAGGAGCTGTGAACTGATAAAATATCTGATGCTAGATTGCAATTCACTTTGCAAAACTCGATACTTAAATTGCACTATATGAGAAGCCATTACAGGACATTTGAAAATATTCTCATATAGGGCCGGGGATTTAGCTCAGTGGTTCCGCTGCTTGCTTTGCAAGTTCAAGGACCCAAGTTCAATCCCTGGTACCAAAAACAAAACAAAACAAAAACAAAAAACAAACAAACAAAAAGAAAATATTCTCATACAGTAATTACCTTTTATTTGGGAATTCTTATTTTTGAGACTTAACGTATTTTTGAAATATGATAGATATTAATATTGATATATTTGTTTTAGCCTCTAGATACAAAGTATTAAAATTATATATAGGGTGAGCTGTTTACTAATTTACTAAACACAACGTCTGTGAATAGCTTCTGATTACTAATATTTTTGCTGTTTGTTTTTTTTTACACCATAATCACTCTTCGTTGACCACTGCATGCAGATAGTTGGAAGTAAAGTTATGGTAAGTACAAAAGATGTGTTTTACTCTTAGAAAACTTGTACTTTTGGGAATTATGGGTATTGCTTGTTTTTTGTATGTTTGGTTCTTCTTTTGGTTTCTATTTTACTAAGGCAATGAGGTGAATGTTTGGTTGAGGTGTTGGAATGTAGCTCTGGTAAGTACTTTTCTTATAGTTTTGGTAAATGTTTTTAAAGTAGAATGTGCCTGTATATTTTCATAGAAAATTTTATCTTTTTATGGAATTATTTTTTTCAGTCTATATGATTCTGATGAAATTGTTTATTGTTCCTCAGTGTTTTAGTATTGTACAGAGGGACTCCTAAAATATTAGTTCATGTTCACAGGACTTCTTATTAAGATGTCACTTTGATTTTGCTATCACTGAGCACATAGTATCATGGAAATGACCCTTGCCGTGCATTCAGGAGGCCTGTGTATTTTATTTTGTCAGGTGCTATTAATTTACTCCATATTTGGGCAATTCATATTTCTCTAGGGTTTAATTACTAAATGGATAAATGGAAATGAATGGTTTAAGTTATCTTTTCAAGTTCTTTCTGTTGCTGTCATTTAAAGCTTTTTATGCTCAAGGCACTATATTTAGTGCTGTAACTATATGATACCCTATTGCATAATAACCCAAAAGTGACCTATATCATGATGGAGAGCTATTTGTAAATAGTTTGCTTTCTTGAATAAGCATTCTTTATTCAGAGAACAAGGTAGGATGAGTACTGAGATATCTAGAATAGTGAATATATTTGATAATTATTATTACTTTTTTTGGTACCGGGGATTGAACTCGGGTCCTTGCGCTTAAGCAGCAGGCAGTGAAACCACTGAGCTAAATCCCCGTCCCTGAGAATTATTTTTTGTTTAAAATATAATTTCTTCCTCCTCCTCCCCCTTTTAAAAATTCATGACATCTACAGGGGATAAAAAAACCATCAACCTTTTGGGATAGTTTTAAAAAATCACTAAATATTTATTTAAGTGGTTATTATATGCTAAGAATTGTGTTATGTACATTAATGACTAGAAAGTAAAAGTTAGATAAGAACTTTAGTTCATATGCTGCCTATAAATTTTGTAGGAATTCATAGGTAGGAGTCAGAAGTAGGGTTGGAGTAGTTAATGCTAGGACTTAAGGTAGGCTTCCAGAAATACTTTATTATGATGCTGGGATTTCACTAGGGAGAAAACTGGAGAAGTCTCAGGTTTTGGAAGTAATATTAATTGCAAAGGCCTGGAGAGAGAGCTAAACTATGTGTGGGGTGGGGAAGAGGGAAATGAAAGATGAGGATGATCTTGTTGGAACAAAGAATGTATATTGCAAAGATTTAAAAGATCAAGTTGAAACAGGCTCATGAAGTTCAGATAGAAGATCTGAAATTAGTTTGAGCAAGTAGGTGCAGTGATCTGTAATCTTAGCATTTAGAGGACTGAGGCAGAAGAATCTCAAGTTCAAGTCTCACCTGGGCAACTTAGCAAGAACCTGTCTCAAAAAATAAGAAAAAGGCTGGGGATTTATGGGAATGTAGCTCAGTATGAAGTCCCTGAGTTCAATCCTTAATACCTTAAAAAAAAAATAGAAAGAAAACTGAGCAGCAACATAGTGATATAATAAAAGCAGGGTTTAAGAAACACATTTGATAAGTGTGTAGGCTGGATTATGGTAATAGTTCAGACTTGGCAGGACATGAAAATGCAAATTATGTCTCACTCCAGGATTGTGATTTATGAGGTATGAAATATATCGTCAAGATATTTGTACTTCTTTTTTTTTTGGTATTGGGGATCGAACTCTGGTCCTTGTGCTTGTGGGGCAGGCGGCAGAACCAGAGCTAAATCCCTGGCCCTAAGATATTTGTACTTTTGAACTGAGCATAGTGGCACATGCCTATAATCCCAGCATTTGAGAGGCTGAGGCAGGAGGATCAAGATGAGTTTGAGGCCAGCCTGTGCTACATAGCTCAAGGCCAGCCTGAACTATGTAGTGAGACCCTGTCTCAAAAAAACCAAAAAAAGCCATTGTATTTTTATTTAGTCAACAGGAGTTTGTTTTTTTTTTTTTGGTACCAGAAAGCAAACTTGGCCCTGAGCTTGCTAGGCAAGTACTGCACTGCTGAGCTACATGCCCGGACCTCCACAGGAGATTCTTAAAAGTAGTTTGAAGAGCACACATTGAGAAATATAGTCATGCACCACATAACATTTTGGTAAAATGATGGTGATCCCATAAGATGATAATGCAGTGGAAAAATTCATATCACCTAGTATTTTTATTGTACCTTTTCTTTGTTCAGATATATTTAGATACACAAATATTACACATTGCTTCCCAGTTACCTATGGTATTGAGTGCAGTAACAAGCTGTACAGGTTTGTAGCATAAGAACAATAATAGGTCATACCATGTAGTCTAGGGTGTAGTAGGCTGTATTATGTAGGTTTGTGAATGCATATTCTGATGTTCCCCCAATGATAAAATCATCTAACAGTGTATTTCTCAGAAGGTATCAGTCTTTAAACTAGGTGTTATTCTACTGGGTTGGGATATAGAGAAACTTGTTAGGGAGGTTGCCTAGAGAATTTGAAGTGAGACTGTGATGACAAATAGTAAACTTGAGGCTAGAAGCAGGGAGAGTATGGTTAGGGTTGAATAAGGAAGTTTGGGAAGATAAAGGAACCTTGAACTTATTTTGGTGTGGGTTGGAGCTGGCCTGTATTTCTAGTCCCACCAACATAAGTAATCTATTTGACTATTCAAATTTTGTTGTTGTTGCTTTTTGAGACAAGAAGATCTTGTTTTGTAATGCAGGCTGACCTTGAACTCACTGTGTAGCCCAGCTTGGCCTCAAACTCAAGGTGATCCTCCTGCATCAGCTTCTCAAATGGTGGGATTACAGGAGTGTGCCACCATGCCTGGATTACTTGACTGTTCTAGAAGCCAGTAAAATATTAATTCCTCCATATCCAATCAGTTATTAAATTTTGATTTTTCCTAATTAGCTTTCAGCTCTCTCCCCTAGTTACCCACACTGTTAACTTCCTTCAATCTCTAATCATTTAACACATCTGTGATTACCTAACTCTCTAAAACTCTCTTCAGCCTCATACCCCACTCATTTATGTTCTACATGATTACCAGAGATCGTTCTTTCCCTCCTCAAAACCTTCAAATGGTTCCCAATTGTTCTTTGTAATCTCATCTTTTCCTCCTTTTAAAAAGTTATCTCCAGCTTCATTCTAGTCCCCTATTCATACAGAAACACTTGGCAATTCCTTAAGAGACTATTGTTTAATACAGTACCTCTAAATCAAGCATATGTTGTCGTTGAGCTAGAATGCCTTTTTCTTCTTTAGTGTGCCCAGCAAGTTCCTAAGTGTCCATCAAGATTAAGCTTCATATCAGTCTTTGGAGAAACTGTCCTAGATAACTCCTTCCTTCCCATAGCACTACATATATACTTCTATTATCATATTTAATGTATCTTATTATAATAAATTATGTCTTTTTTTTAACAAATGAACACAGTTTCTGCCTTCTAATGGGGAAGAAGACAGATAAACAGAACAAAGATAGGGCCCAAAGGTGTGTTGTGGTAAAGGTTTCAAAGTCAGAGAACAGCAGGTTCTATATGGTTCACATACATGCTTCTGAGAGTGTTGTGAAGGACAGTATGAGATAGGTGTTATGATAGATCCATGAGGTAAACTACTTTATACCTATTGTCTTATCTGTGATCTGCTTTTCACATTTGAGCTTTTGCAAATCCTGTCACAAATGGAGGAAACTATGGTAATCAGCTTCTAGAGCAGTGGTGACGAACCTATGGCATGTGTACTGCAGCCGGCATGCAGAGCCCTCTCTGTTGGCATGCTAGCCAAGTCTCCCCAGCGTCTTCCCAGCAGCTGAGCATTGAATAACAATACACAAAAGCAAAGCAAATGCAAACTTTCACCTTTCAATAAAGCTCTGTTATTGTGTTTTTCTTTTAAGACAAAACATGTTAATATATAAGTTGGTTTTTCTAAACTAAAACCTCTGTACCCAGGTTTAATTGCAGTGTTGGCACTTGGTGATAAATAAGTGGGCTTCGGGTTGCAGTTGGGCACTCATCTCTAAAAGGTTCACACTCACTGTTCTAGATGAAATTATGAGGGCTTAGTTGTAGAGTTCATGTGATGCCTTAAAGGAGATTTTTTGTTGGTTACAAAAAATGTGCCTAGACAGAGAAATGAAAGAAAAACTATATAAAATTGCCCTGGTAAAAGTCAGGTTCAAAAGAGTTTAATCTTCAAAAGATTGAAGGTGCTTGTTCATTGATAAAAAAGGCAAGTAGGAATTTCATAAAGGTGTTTCAGAGAAGAAGTTCTAGAATAACACATTTTAAGTATTGTAGTTACCTAGAGATTACCAGCATTAGTCAAAAAATGAGTAAGATTCAGATTGAAATTAGAATGATGGACTATGTAATGAACTTGGACTGTACAGTTCATTCTTCTGTTTATCTGATGCTGATGAGGAGCAGAAATAGAGGCATTTGAGGGCCTCCTGATTTTTTTTTTTTTTTTTTGGTACCAGAGATTGAACTCGGGACCTTGTGCTTGTGAGCCAGGTGGTGGCATCACTGAGCTAAATCTCCAGCCTGAGGCCCTCCTGATTTTGAGCTACCATCAGCCTTACTTTGTGCTATTCATCTTTATGCATTTTACTGTAAAAGTCAAGCTAGAAAATTGCCAGTTTTCTGAACATAACTACCCCCTCCCTCAGGCAGTGTTGCTTCTAACCTTGCTTATTAAATCTTTTTTTTATATATAGAATATTTTCTTTTCTTTGTTAACATTCTGCGCATAGTCTAAAGCTCTTCAATGAAGCCTATCCTGATCCTGATTTTAAATCCTTCCTCCCATTTTCTCCTATAGCACTTTATTTTTAACTTTCTTATGGAATCACTTTCTACTTTGCCTTACAGTTCCTGTCACTTCACCCTCAA